CTATCCAAAATCCACAGCTTTACACTTCCTGTCGACAACTCCTTAGTTTCCCCCTCCCCTCAGGTCAAGAGTGTGGGTGTCATCCTCGACTCCTCACTATCCTTCCAGTCCCACATAAACAATATTACCCGGTCTGCCTACTTCCATCTACGTAACATTAACCGCCTAGCCCCTCCCTCACTACTCACTCGGTCACCATCCTTGTCCACAGCCTCATCACTTCCCGTATTGACTACTGCAACGCTCTTCTCTCCGCTCTTCCTCACAAATCCCTACATAAACTCCAACTTCTCCAGAACTCGGCAGCCCGCATCATTTCCAGAACTCCCTCCATCCACCACATCACCCCTGTTCTTCAGCAGCTCCACTGGCTCCCAGTCACTTCCAGAATCCAATTCAAAATTCTGCTGTATACATTCAAAGCCATCCATAACCTAGCTCCACCGTACCTCTCAGACCTCCTTCATCCTTCAACCTCCACCTGTTCCCTCAGGTCCTCCTCCTCCATGCACCTCTCTGTCCCACCTTTCCGTCTGGTCACTATGGGGAGCAGGGCCTTCAGTCGCTCTGCTCCCCAGCTCTGGAACTCACTCCCTCCTGACCTCCGTAACATTGACTCCCTCACTCTCTTTAAAACCAGACTCAAAACCCACCTGTTCCAATAATTACTCTCTTTGCTCCAATCTGTCTGTTTGTTTTATGCTGTTTTATCTTTTATTGTTGTGTATTTTATCTCTGTAAAGTGTCCTTGAGTGTTCAGAAAGGCGCTGTTGAAATAAAATGTATTATTATTAATATATATTATACATGAATCAATTTCCCTCTGGGATTAATAAAGTATTTTTGAATTGAATTGAATATTGAACTGTTAGCGTGTCATTTATGCTCACCAGAAGCACAAGCGTGGCCTAAACTCAGCGAGCTACACCCAAACAAAGGAACGAACAGAAATAAAAAGCTGTAAACTTTTCTTTGTTGAAGATTCTGTTTTCATCCGTGGAATATTGGTCCTGGCAGATGTAGATTGTATGATCAAGTTGACGTCTTTGCAGCGTGTTCAAATGTTCTTTATTTCTCCTCCAGATGGAGGCGACATGAGGAGAGACAGCAGGGGATCTTTCTTCACCGCCGGCTGTTAACAGCAGTTTGGTGTCTTTGTTGCCTTTGAACCACAACATTTAGCATTTCCTACCAATGTATGGATGAGCCATTCATCATCTTCCACTAGCAGCTTCAGCGTCATTGAAAGAGCTGTGTCCAGGACTGAGCTCGTGAAGCTGGGACTCTAAACTCTTGCAGGTTTCATCGCAGAAGATGGCTGATCCGCTCACGTGGGGACATGTTGGTGTGCCGGCATACAAAAGTCGATCTGCGTGCTTTCAGGGGGCTCGGTGTAATTTTTAGCTGAGCAACCTGCTTTTTGTCCGTTTGACTTCCTGCAGCTTTCAGCAAAGCTGGCGCAGGTTTTACGTCACAAGCTGGGATTTCATCAGGAGCCGTTTGCACAAAGTGTTTGTGGCAAAACAATCAATAAAAACATCAGTGAGATTTTAGTAAAACATCAGGTAAGCCCCGCCCCTATAGAAGATTATGCTGACCATTACCGTAATGTTTGTGCATGACCCCGCCTCCACCCACAGACCCATTAACTAAAATATTTATGCAGGAAAAAGACATTTCCATTAATCCGGTTTGCTGTTCTTTAGTTTCATGCTCTCCCGTTTGAATTCATTAACGACCTCGGTTGTAGGCTCCGCCCCCCGTAACATTGGGACTCGCTCCAAGGAGATTTGCATTCCTGTAGGATCCCAGTCCCAACCTGGAAATCTACTTTAGCTTCATGGCAGAAACACCTTTCAGAGTTTAACTGGGTCAGAGGAAGCCGGACTGGACGTGACTGAAGTGGTGTTGGGAGATGTTTGAGGGTTTTTACCCAATCCCAGTTTAACCTAGATGGTTTTAGCAGATTTAAAAGTTGAATGTGGAACATTTTAACAATAATAAATAAATAAAAACTCCCCGGGTGTTTAGAGGCGTGCAGGATGAACGTGCAGCATTTCCTTTAAAAGCTATTTTTTAATTTTGACGACGGGTTCATGTTTACATCCACCAGCCAGTAGAGGGCACCATTGCGGGTTGCCAAACAGCCGCTGAGCTGCGGACTCGGCAAGTCAAGCAGCTCCTCCTGAGCCCAGAAGATGTGGTTATCCTTCTGAGAAGAGGAGCGACCATAAAAGACCTAAAGCCAGAGCGAGTCGCGGTGAAGCCAATTACTGATGGACCCAAATAAAACATTCACGTGTTGGCAGCAAACCTGGCATCCCGTCGGCTGGAAACCTCCACGCACGTTGTTGTTCCTGTTCCGCATTCAACCTTTAACCTTTGATAAAAAAATCTGTACTTGGGCCCTTTTTTTTTTTTATACCATCCATGAAACTTGTGCATCAGACTGTAGATATCTGTGTCCTCTCGGGTCCCCCAGAGTCCAGAGAGCCCGCGTTTCAACATCTTAGCTCTAAATATTCTAAAGAGGAAGCGTCTCATTAAGTTTACTATCTGGATGTGGTTGCTATGGCGACCCTGATGAGCATCTTATGTGTGCAGTGGTGTCTTTAATGAGCCACTGGCAGCAGCTTTAACATTTCTGTTGTTCTTACACAACCTTCACAGTTTCTACAGCCCCATGTAGACATTTAGTCTCAGCTGATATAAAATCAAGCTACTGTCAGTCAGCGGTTGCAAAATGTACCTTACAACTCAGTTAAGAAATCTTAGATTTAGTTTTATTTTATTTTCAGGCTGAAGGCGTGAAGCTGGGTCCGAATCACAAATCCCACGTGAAGACGACGGGGTGGAGGAGCGTCCGTCTGCCTGACGGGTAAAGCGGTGGATTTAAATTAAACGAGAACACAAAGTCAAACAAAGCTGCTCAACTGGAGGCATTTTGCAACGAACAAGGGAGCACTAGGAGAGATGATTTTAAATTAACTGACCTTTTAAAAGGCACCGCTAATCTAGTCACATGAAACAGCAATTTATGAGAGGGGAAATGTTCATTTACTAGCAATGAGCATCTATCAATCTTGGTGACAGAGGAGTACACTGGGGAGAGGAAACGGGAGGCATTAAAGGAGGGAGGAAGACACCGGAGATGGAGTGTGTGCACTGAACTACGCCCCTGATAGGGAGGGAGGGAGGTGAGACGGGAGGAGGAACCAAGCCAGGAGCAGACAGAGAGGTGCTTTAGATTAGAACAGCCCGACGCTAATGTTTCATGGAAAGCCTGATTCACAAACAGAATCAATCACAAGTGGCTGGAGGCCTCATTTAAAGCAGGATGAGACCAAAGCGTGACCTTCCTGCCCGTGGCCGGCTCCACCAGCCTGCTCACACCAAACCTCCACATAATAGGCCAAGTAAAGAACAAACTCCACGTTTGATTAATGAAGTCGTCACACAGATAGCAAGTGAGTCTGGTCCAGAATAATCCCCCTGAACGAACACACACACACACACACACACACACACACACACACACACACACACACACAGCGCGTCTCTGAGAGGCCTGTAACTGTGTTTTTACTTGGCAGTGAATGAGACGTTATAAAACCCACCATCTATCCTCCTTAAGTGCCGGTTGATGAAAAGACAATAAGAAGATGAAAAAGCGGCGCATCGGGGACACATCAGGCGCTCTCCTTCAAATGTGAAGAGGAGCTCTGAGCACATGAGTCGATCAGGGCGCGACGCCTCGCTCTCGTTAGTGAAAAGGGCTCCGGAGCACACCAGCATGTTTCAAAGCCGCGCGCGTGGGTCTGGACAGAAGCATCCTGACTGACGCGGTGGAGGACGCTTGGCTTTCTGGGCCGGGTGCCGTTGCTCTGGGCGAACACTTCAAACAGCCAGACCTCCTATATGTCACAGCCAACCGGCTGCTCCGGCCGCGCATCTCTGCCAACCATCCTGCACACTGTACCGCCTCAGGCTAACGCACACACACACACACACACACACACACTTTTAAGTGTAAAAGTGTTTATGGTGCTGTGCAAAAGTCTAGGAGCCATTCACGTTGTCCTCCTAAGCAGCCGGATGTTTGTAACGACTCTCTAACGGACAACTGGACTCTGTTAGCAGCAGCTCCTCATAAAAAACACACTTTGTTGTATTTCTTCAGCAGAATCCACGGAAAACACAAAACGTAAAACAGAACGGCTCACGCGGAGGATCCTCTGACCCAAAACTGCTGCTGGAGAAGAACAGAGTCTCCGTTTCCAAATCAAACCCGGACTAACAGGAAAAAATTACGTCCCAGGAGAGTTTGAATGAGAATTGTTGGATTTCATTATTATAACTTACAGATATTATTGTTGTGTACATTAACGATGATTCAGTTTAGTTTACAGAGCCGTGAAACATCAGGAGAACCTTAGTCCTCAGAGGGACACGCGACTCCTGATCGGGGTTAAAGTCAGTAAGGGTTTAATGTAGTGTATTATTAATAAAACTGATATTAAGGCAACGTTAAAGTAGGATAATCCTGTTTAACTTTTATTGTCTCCAGTTAGTGCTGCAGATATGAAACCATAATTATTCATTTAAAGAAAAGCTGAACTATTAATTGTCTAATTGTTAATATAACAGCTACATAATAATCCTGTAGGTCCTCCACTAGGGGGCAGCAGATATGTCTCGGACTGGATTTGGGAGGTTTGTGATGAAGGTGCTAATCCTGATGCTCCATCTGGAGGCTTTAAAGTCAGACGTGCTTTTTTTTTAGTTTATTCCTACCGAGCTGCTGACCTGCCAGTTAAAGGGTTAAAAAATCACCATGTTTTTTATTTCTCTGGGCGGTTTGATGAGCAGCAGTGAAGCTACAACACCAGCAGGCCTCCAGCACCGCGTTAGGAACAGTTTCACACACGGGAAAGTCGGGCTGTTATGCTAAACAGAAGCGGTTGAAGACTTTTGCACGGTGCTGGGTGTGTTGAACTCACATTTTTCCAGCGCATCCATCGCAGCTCCCATTTCAGCCTGCTGGATGCTGGATTAGGAGACAAAGAAAAGGATTTTAGCGTATTCAAGATGTGCCTTTTCAAAATTCTGTCAAAAACAGAAAAAAAACCAGCCCTAATATTGAGCGGATTATCAAAAAGTGATAAATGCACGAGTTTCTGTAACAATCACAGGTGCACGCGGCTCTGAGCCGGGCCCCGCCTGAGGCTCTCCATCCCTCCTGAACGCCACCGTGGAGGTAGCTGCTAGCCTAAATCATGTAAATACAAAAACACTGAGCTGTCAGAGGCTCTGCAGAGGGGACAAACTTATCGCCAGCTTAGAGCTTTCAAGATTTCCTCGTGTGCGTGCATGGAGGGGATGAGAGATGTTTGTTGGATTTGGTTTCCAAAAGGCTCAGCTGCAGCTTTAGACCCTTCCAACTCTCAAAAAGAGATGACACACAAAAGATCTGCAGCCAAGCGGTAAAACACAAACAAAATCCCAGGTGATGTGGCTTCACGGGTGCACTTCCATAACTAGATGTATGTTAAATCAATAAAGAATCTATTGGTTTTCATCCCCCGATCGAACTGAGCTTGATTGGTATAATAAACACCGTCAGCGCTGTGGAGCCATTATTCTGGAGCCCATTAGCGGAGCACTGAGGAGGAAAGCTCCCGGTCCGGTTGTGTCCAGCTTACTCACCTCGGGCCTTTTCCGCAGCCGATCCGCTCCCCTTTGAAATACACGGCCACCGTGTAGGTCCGGGCGTGAGAGGGCCCCACCGTCTGCAAGGTCCTGCAAATCCAAGAGGAGAGCGCATTCAGGGAGGTTCAGGGAGGCGAGGAGGCGGAGGTTACAGCAGGTCTTCGATGAGCACAAATAGAATTCACCTGAAGGGTAGCGCTCTGATTCAGAGGCTCACTTTGTGAACGAGCGTCTGAGGGACGCGTAGACAACTTTAAAGCCTCCCCGAGTCCCCGCGCTCATCTCCAGATACACAAAGCTGCGCTTGGCGAAGTAAAGTAAATAAACAAATAAGCGACATGCAGGGAGGGAGCTTGAAATAAACTAATGACAATAGCCCCGCATGTCCTCGGTGCCTCTAGAAGGGGGTAAACAAGACAAATAAAAACCAAAGAGGGACCAAGACATCTCATCTCGCTCTTCTAACTAACAGATGCACCTCCTCTAAAACGAGAAGAAAAATCAAGCTGTCAGCTCTTGCTCCTCTCCTGCAGGGACACATGTAGCAGGCAGTTGTTTGAAATGCTAACATTAGCATAAACATCTCCGCTCCAAGCTGTGACTCGACTAAATTATTCACAGACGATTGACTGATTTCAGGAGAGCAATCCATTTTTAATGCAGCGTGGTCACTTATGACACTTTTATCAATAATGCAGCCGCGTTCTCACTTACGAATGAAAGAGCGGGAAAATAAAACGCACGGCAAGTAAATAAGACGTCGGTTTGGAGCCCGGAGTTACGGCGGCGACACAGAGGGAGACGGGAGGAGGAGGAATTGATCCTCGGGGTCGATGGGACGAGAAGTCACGCTGATGGAAGGCGAGGCCTAAAAGGGGAGCGCTGCTTTGAGGCTCCCTGGTGTGTCCTGACCAGATGAGACGTACTGTGGAGTGATGGTGCTGGGGTGGAGGTGTGGATCAGTCATCAGCCAGACAAATGCACCAGGGAACCTTTAGCGGGGGGTCGGTACATTAACACCCCCCGTCTGACTCACACCCTCGGCTGGAACGGCATTTCGCTGCCCTCGATACTTGTAAACAAACTCAGGAGGACCTCTGGGACGCCGACAGCTGCCGTAAAAGTTGCACGACTCTGACTTATCGACCCACGAGGTTGGGTCATCTTATGAGTTGGGGAGGGGGGTCAAGGAGAAGCTCCAGATTATTGGTGGCTACCGAGTACTCAATGAAGACGGGGCGTATTGACTACACTCGAGGGTGTAGCAGAAGCCAGGCTACGTCAGGAGGAGGAGCCACACTGGGACGCGGGGCAGCCATTTGTTTCTCCTTCACGTTCCTGTTGACAGACGGGCCGGAGAGGAGCTCTGACTGCAGAGGCAGAGGAGGCAGAAAATAAAAAACAAAAACGGAGAGCTGAGGACATTTAAATAAACACAAAGAGCGGGGCTGACTAAACGCTGGATCACTGTGAACAGAAACGTTCCGTTTCCAATCGCCCTTGTGCCTCTGACTGACCTCCTTTTTCACTCCTCTAAGAAAAGGCTGTTTGAGGGTTTCCATAGCAACACACGGCAGCATCATGGCAGCTCTCTGAAGAGTTTCATCAAGTGACACTTGCTCCCCGACTCCTCGTCAAATGAGAGGTCTCGGAGGCCATGTTTATTTATCACAACAGCAGCGACCTTTACGCAGCTATTCATAACGTTCACAAAGACCGACGCGTTTCCCGTCAAATACAGTTATTGTTCTTGTCATCCGTTTCTCTGAATGTGGAGACATGTCCTCGCCTCCTCTGAGCCTTAAGTGAGATTATTTAGATTCAGGGAAAACAATTCAGTGTGACTGGTTAGGTAGTTCAAACAGCTAGCTGTGATTAGCATTTAGCAACAAAAATAAAGCTCTAAGTCATGGGTGCCCGCCCCTGGTCCTGGAGGACCGCCATCCAGCATGTCTGCTCCAGCGAAACCTGTTAAAGCAGCAATCCGGAGTTTCCCCCTTCAGGAATTAAGTAGGATTATTTTTTAATCCATGCCAGTGATAGTCCTACCCTGTACTGTGATATAATAGGAGGTAGAGGCCGACCCATACTGGTTATTGGGATACTGATGTGTAGGAGACACCATCAGCTGACATCCAGATGTTTTCCACCGTATTTTCATGTAAAATGTCTTTAATAAGATCAGTTGATGCACAAATTTTCTGAAGCTGAATCGGTTTTTGAACTCCGAATTAAACTAAATCTCAACTTTGAGTCAGACACCTAAACAAAGTTAATTTAGATCATTTATTATGCAATGCTGTTTTCTTCTGCAACAGCACCAGGCTGCCCGAGGATGTGCCCGACTTTAAATCGGATTTACTAAGGACAAGTATTGTCCGATGTATAAAAAAACTGTAAATATCGGTCAAAGAGCTCGGCCGACCGATATATCGACCTATTCCTATTGGACACCCATGTTCTAATAGATGGATTAGCTGCTCTGATCAGCATTAAAAAGGTGAAAAATACATGATATAAGGAACAACTGAGTTGTTTTAGCAGCTAGCTTTGTTTTAGCGAATAAACAAAACTCTATGTATTTCAGCTATTTACCTGTTTTTGTTGCCAAATGCTAATTAACTCCTTTCACTGTTTGATTTATAAAATTAAAGCTTGCTGTTCCGGTAGCTACAGCTGCCAGCTGTTCCGGTCGCTACAGCTGCTAGCTGTTCCGGTAGCTACAGCTGCCAGCTGCTCCAGTCGCTACAGCTGCTAGCTGTTCCGGTCGCTACAGCTGCTAGCTGATCCGGTAGCTACAGCTGCCAGCTGCTCCGGTCGCTACAGCTGCTAGCTGTTCCGGTCCCTACAGCTGCCAGCTGTTCGGGTCGCTACAGCTGCTAGCTGTTCCGGTAGATACAGCTGCTAGGTGCTCCGGTAGCTACAGCTAGCTGCTCCTGTAGCTACAGCTAGCTGCTCCGGTAGCTACAGATGCTAGCTGCTCTGGTCGCTACAGGTGCCAGCTGCTCCGGTCGCTACAGGTGCCAGCTGTTCCGGTCGCTACAGCTGCTAGCTGTTCGGGTCGCTACAGCTGCTAGCTGTCCTGGTAGCTACAGCTGCTAGCTGTTCTGGTCGCTCCAGCTGCTAGCTATTCCGGTAGCTGCAACTTCTAGCTGTTCTGGTAGCTAAAGCTGCTAGCTGTTCCGGTCGCTACAGCTGCTAGCTGTTCCGGTCCCTACAGCTGCCAGCTGTTCCGGTAGCTACAGCTGCTAGGTGCTCCGGTAGCTACAGCTAGCTGCTCCTGTAGCTACAGCTAGCTGCTCCGGTAGCTACAGATGCTAGCTGCTCTGGTCGCTACAGGTGCCAGCTGCTCCGGTCGCTACAGGTGCCAGCTGTCCCAGCCGCTACAGCTGCTAGCTGTTCGGGTCGCTACAGCTGCTAGCTGTCCTGGTAGCTACAGCTGCTAGCTGTTCTGGTCGCTCCAGCTGCTAGCTATTCCGATAGCTACAACTTCTAGCTGTTCTGGTAGCTAAAGCTGCTAGCTGTTGTGGTAGCTCTAGTTGCTAGCTGTTCTGGTAACTACAGTTGCTAGCTGTTGTGGTAGCTCTAGTTGCTAGCTGTTCTGGTAGCTCTAGCTGCTAACTGTCCTAGTAGCTACAGCTGCTAGCTGTTGTGGTAGCTCTAGTTGCTAGCTGTTGTGGCAGCTCTAGCTCCTAACTGTCCTGGTAGCTACAGCTGCTAGCTGTTGTGGTAGCTCTAGTTGCTAGCTGTTGTGGCAGCTCTAGCTGCTAACTGTCCTGGTAGCTACAGCTGCTAGCTGTTGTGGCAGCTCTAGCTGCTAACTGTCCTGGTAGCTACAGCTGCTAGCTGTTGTGGCAGCTCTAGCTGCTAACTGTCCTGGTAGCTACAGCTGCTAGCTGTTGTGGCAGCTCTAGCTCCTAACTGTCCTGGTAGCTACAGCTGCTAGCTGTTGTGGTAGCTCTAGTTGCTAGCTGTTGTGGCAGCTCTAGCTGCTAACTGTCCTGGTAGCTACAGCTGCTAGCTGTTGTGGCAGCTCTAGCTGCTAGCTTTGAAAGGGAAGAAACACTAAATCACTTTAATGTAAATGGTGCTACTTTGGTTTTGTCAAATGTTATGGTCATCTATTTAAAAAGATCTGAAAAAAGCTAAACTAATCATCCAAACAGCTAGATTTGGTTAGAGTTTAGCAAATAAAGTGTTTTTTCATGAGTTTGCAAAGATTTGTCTAAATCCCTTTTCAGTCTTGGTTTTTAAATCAGCCTCCAATCAAAAACCAGTTATCCTCCTAAGTTTTCTAACTCTTAGATGATGTGCGGATAATTACTTGCTTGTGAAATAAAGAGAAGCGAAGCTGCTTTTCATTCCAACATCTAACCAGCACCGTTTTTTTCAGATTTCGGGACATTTTCATACATTCGGTGTGAATGATTTTAGTAAATATTTTCTTCCTGTCCGACCGCTCGGCGAGCCTCTGAGTGCTCCGCCGCCTCCTCTGGAGTCTTACTTGTACAGCGGGATGTCGGGCTCCTTGCCCTCCGTTCTCAGGGTCAAACAGCACTGCTGCAGCTGAGACTTGGGGTCGTTCCAGTCCTGGTTCAGGATGAACTCCTGCAACACACAAACCATAAAAACATGCTTCTTTAAAACTGTTTTTATTTTTTCTTCTTAGAGGAAATCAGAGACACGAGTGAGAATGTGCTGCAGCTACCCCCCACCCCACATGCTTTTATTTCATCCTCGACATCCCGGCGCTCTCTCCGCTCCCCGTTTGGACTTCACTTATTTGCTCGCTCTCAGAGCGCCTCTCCATCTTGGCGGTGAGTACAAATCACAGGCTACTTAAGGCAAAAGCCGATCCCCGGCCAGAAATAAAGCGCGTCTGGGAGCCTCCCAGGTGTGTAGCCCTGATACATTTCTCTTATCTAAGGGGGACTTCTAAAAGCCCTTCCATTAACAGGGAAGCAGCCTTGTCATAAAAAGGCAGACTTTGAATCCAGAACTGTCTGCTCCTATTAATTTTCTACAAAGAGTGCTTCTGCTGCTCGAGCGCCCCTGCTCTCGCTTTACTACCTCCATCACCACTTCTCTTGCCTCCTTTTCTCCTATCCCACTCTTCCCGTCTCCTTCAGCCTGAAGCAGACGGATTCTGATGTTTCTGAAAGGAGAGAGCAGCCCACCTCTACTGTAAAACCGCTGCTCCAGCTGCACAGATCCATTCACGCCCGTGCAAACCCTTCGATATGCATCATCACACGCAGCGGCGAAAAGCACAAACACGGGGACGGGAGCGTTCGTGTCCCCGGCGCTGGCTCTCTATTTCCATCTAAATTGGATGAAGCAGCACAGTGTGCATGGCTGTCTTTGCAGAAGGCTGTGTAAGGAGACGTGCTGGCTGTTGCACAACTTTTCTCTTGGAAGTGGAAATGAGGTGCTCTCTTGCAGCGACCATGACGCAAAGCTCAGCTCCTCCAGAACTGAGGATTCTCCCTGGAGAGGCGCACCAAGACAGCAATTAGCACGGCATATCAGACCACTGCAGCAGCTTCACAAGCAGAGGTCCTCGCTGTGTGGGTGCACGACCACGTGCGCGCGGCTGATAGTCTGGAGAAACAGCCATCTTGGGTGTTTTCTCTGTGAATTTGGGCTCTTGAGGATGAGAAGCCAGCGGCTGCAGGCCCACATCTGGCCACGGGAGTTCTGAAACACACTCGACTCCTTCCGCTCCTGCAACACTCGTGGATGCCATCGGCGCCACGAGCACTCCTTAGATCAATAGCCAAACACTGATGAATAACATTAGCACCCCGATGCATGCGTCTCTGCAGCTCTGCCATTAAAGATGACTAAAATAGCAGCCCGAGTCACCATTGTGAGAGGCATTCAAGAGCCAAGCACCACTTCAGGCCCCGCATCGATTAGGGCCCAGCCATTAGCTCCCTCATCATCGTCTCCTCGCTCCTTTTCTCTCCTTAGGTGCCCTGCTCGGCAGCTCATTGATCAAGAGCGGGCGGTGAATAGCTATCGATAGGTGCTCACCTTCAGCCGAGGGAAGAAGCAGACGTTCATGAAGGTGTGAACGTACTCCAGATCTTTGTCGATGTAGAGAGCGGCGATGAAAGCTGCAACGACAAAAAGAGCACTTAGAGAAACGGGCACCCGTTTTTCTGAAGAGCCGCGCCTGACTTCTCAGGTAAATAAAACCTGCAGCTGCGGCCAGAGAGGTTGGTGTAAACCTCCTCGTCTAACAGGAAACGGATCCAGCCAGGTGAGCGTAGGGATCACAGGAACGTTTACGTCACTCTCAGATAAACTCCAGGTGAGGATCATCTCCATCCCTCTGTGGTGCCTTTATTGAGCTGCCGCTGTGTGTGTGTGTGTGTGTGTGTGTGTGTGTGTGTGTGTGTGTGTGTGTGTGTGTGTGTGTGTGTGTGTGTGATAGGTAATATTTCAGCCTGCTGTAGCCGCGAGCCACGACGGTTCATATCCAGAAGAGCGCTGGCCTCTCCCCACGCTGCTCGAGCCCCAACGCACAGACTCCATTTGAAAGGCAAATGATATGAAACTCGCCGCTGTGGGATCCACGCACCGGGTCGGGCTGTAGACCCGCAGCACTTCACTTTAGTTTCTGTTATTTGTTGTTATTCTGAGACGGTCTAGTTTTATCGACTTCAGAAAGCCACAAGCGTCTGTTCACCTCCACACGTCTGATTAACGGGGTTGAAGAGGATGTGGTGTTAAAAAAAATCCCTAAGCTAGCAGCTAGTCAGCTCCAAACCCCTGAATGTTTAGGGTTAGACACCTTTATGGTGCCGTAAACACTACAGTTCATTCAGAGGAATTATTAAAACATTCTCGTCTGACTCGACCGACAGGTGAAACAAGTCACGCTGAGGGCGGGGTGGGGGTGTTTAACAACGGACAGTTTAATGTTGGACTCATTTTAGGATGTTCTAAGACTAGCTGTTAGCTCATCAATCCCGAAGGACATAAACTCAATTTCTCTGCACAGAGGCTGTTCGGGTGGTTAGGATAAGATTTTCACTTCATTTTAAATCACAATGTTGCAAAAGCTAAAAGCCCAGAAAGAATCTGGATAAGAGCTTCATTACTGCAGAATCGTGAGTCGGTTTGTTCTCAAGGCTCTAAAAATCCAACATGGCGGCCTTTTCCACTTCCTGCCCCCGTTTCAGCTGTCGGCGTCATGCTGGGGATGAAGTCTCGGCGCTGTGCGGTTCCACTTAACCCGACTTCCACCTATGGCGGCACAGCTGCAGGAGGAACGTCGGACTCGTCTGAGCTCTGCAGACCTCCAGACCGCGGAGGTTCACGTCCCTGCTCTGGAGGAGCGCCCGTTGGCTTGAGCCTGGCACACAGCCAGGACTTTTAGGTTTTATCTAATCAGAAACGTGGTTTTTGTTGTAATAAAATCACGAGAACCCAGTGTAAACAGATCTACGGTCAGTTTCTACACATTTGTTTTTTATTTGCTCCACTGTTTGTCCCTCTGAGGTCTGGAAGTTCTCAGTTGTATTTCACTAGCTCCATTTGAAAGGTGAGCAGGTGTTAAAGACCATATTTACGTCGGTATAAAGCTCCGTCACAGTAATCCAACAGAATCTGCTGACTAGTTCCCTTTATGCTGAACACAAACTAACATTGTTTCATCTCCAGCAGAAAAATCCAACGTCTCCTTCGGCTCCAGCCTCACCTTCCAGGATCAGAAAGTAAAAGTAGTGAGGAAGCAGGTTATTGTTAGCTGTTTTTGCAGACAGCTGCTTGGAGATGAAACCATCAGTGATGGTGTCAGTCATAAGATTCTGGAACTGCGCTGCTCTGGGTGGCTGCATGTTGGAGTAGCTCTGTTGACTATATGTAAAGTTTTGCCTTTTCTTGGACATTTTTTCTTCTAGTATCTCAAGAAAAACGATATTTTTTTGACATTTGACTTCTCTGTTTCTGGTGCTGTGAAGCTTAGAGGATTTTTACTGCTATTTTTTTCACTTTTTGTGCATTTGTTATGATATGTAACCATGGCAACAAGCTGGTTTACAATCAGGAGCAGCTGATTAACATTGGAAAGGCTGAAATAATACCTGAACTGAAGCCACAAATCCCAAATCAACTAAAAAGCAAGAAGCGAGGGTGCAGAGCGGGAGCAAAACGGAGACAGAGAAAGAGGAAATTCAAACCATCTCTTCCATCGACCATAATGGGCAATGTGAGATCACTGGCCAACAAGATGGATGAACTCCAAGCCCTTTCAAGGACTCAGCCAGAGTATCGGCAGTGCAGTGTTATGTGTTTCACTGAGACATGGCTGCAGGACCATATCCCCGATTCCAGCGTCTCTCTGCCAGGATTCCTGACTGTACGAGCAGACAGAGATCTGAAGAGGAGCGGGAAACAAAAGGAGGTGGGTGGAGTGGCAGTGCTTGTCAACAACAGATGGTGCCATCCATGTCATCTTTCAGTGAAATGTCGTCTCTGCAGCCCAAATGTTGAACTCTTGGCTGTAAGTTGTCGCCCATATTATTTGCCAAGAGAGTTCACCAGTGTTGTGTTGGCAACCGTTTATATTGCACCTTCAGTTATTGCTGAAAGTGCATGTGATGCCATCAGTTCTGTTGTCGCTAAGCTACAAACCCAGCACCCCAATGCATTTGTGTCTATATCTGGTGATTTTAATCATGCCTCGCTCTCTGCTACACTTCCAACATTTCAACAGTTTGTCAGCTGCTCAACCAGAGAAAACAAGACATTGGATTTGTGTTATGCAAATGTAAAGAATGCATACATGTCCAAAACAATACCTCCTCTGGGACAATCAGATCACAATCTTGTTTTTCTCTGCTAAGAATACAAACCACTTGTTCAGAGGCAACCTGTGACAAGAAGAACTTTGAGAAAATGGTCACAGGATGCTGAAGAAGCCCTGCAGGGTTGTTTTGAGACCACAGATTGGATGACTGTCTGCCAAGGACATGAAGAGGACATCAATGCCATGGCTGGATGTGTCACTGACTATATAAACTTCTGTGTGGACAACATCATACCCACCAGAACAGTGAGATGTTTCACTTATAACAAACCCTGGATCACCAGTGAAGTGAAGAATCTGCTAAATGAGACAAAAAGAACCTTCAAGGAGGGAGAAAGGGAATTATTGAGGTGTATACAGAAGCAACTGAAGATCAAGATCAGAGACAGCAAGGAGGCATACAGGAAGAAGCTGGAGAACAAACTACAGAGGAACAATATCAGAGATGTCTGGTCAGGGATGAAGAAGATCACAGGCTTCAAGCAGAGGAAGGATTGCACAGATGGCAGCCTGGACACAGCCAATGAACTGAACAAGTTCTTCAATAGGTTCAGTTCAGGAACAAACCCAGCATCCTCCTCGCCTGTCCCCAGCCAATCAGACATCCCATCCTCCTCTGATCCAACATTTTCCTGTCACACGCCAGCTCTTTTGTCCTCTAACGCAGTCATGGACTCTTCTGGTTCTATAAATCTGTCTTCAACCAAGTCAGGAGATGCTGCTGCCCCATTTACCTCCCCTCCCACCTATCTGTCTCTAGGAGTCAGGTGAAGAGGCAGCTGGAGAAACTGAACAGGAACAAGGCTGCAGGTCCAGATGGTGTCAGCCCCAGAGTACTGAAGGCCTGTGCAGAGCAGCTCTGTGGGATTCTGCAGCACCTCTTCAACCTCAGCCTGGACCAGGAGAAGGTTCCAGTCCTGTGGAAGACATCCTGCCTCGTTCCAGTTCCAAAGAAAACTCGCCCATGTAATGTGAGGAAATATGGGTTTTCTGTGCCAAAGGTTTCGTTTGACTCGGCTGGGTCACCAGCAACTTTCACCCACAGATTAAGACCTGAACGCCAGCAAGTCTGCAAGAGTCTGCTGCAAACCATAACATCTGAACACCTGCAGTGCCAGCAGATGGAGTTCTCATGGAATGTAGTCATAACAAAGTCTTAAACTTCCTTTCACAAAAGAGCCTAAACCATATCACTACATCCATCAGTCAATGACGACTCCAGACCGGTTGCCCTAACATCCCACATCATGAAGGTCCTGGAGAGACTCCTGTTGGTCCACTTGAATAAGTAAACTAGGACATATCAGGACCTGCAGCAGTTTGCTTATCATCATGGAGTTGGAGTTGAAGATGCCATCATCCAGCTTCTTCAACCAACCCACTGTCATCTGGACAAAGCAGGCAGCACTGTGAGTCATGTTCTTTGATTTCTCCAGTGCATTTAACACAATCCAGCCTGATGTACTTTGCCAGAAACTCCAGAAGACACAGGTGGGGGCCTCAACTATCGCCTGGATTAAAGACTACCTGACAAACAGACCACAGTTTGTGAGGCTGAAGAACTGCACATCAAACCAGGCGATCAGTAACATTGGAGCACCACAGGGGACTGTACTCTCACCATTCCTTTTCACCCTGTACACCTCAGACTTCCAGTACAAATCAGAGACCTGTCATCTACAGAAATACTCAGATGACTCTGCAGTTGTCGGGTGGATCAGAGATGGACAGGAAGCTGAGTACAGAGAGCTGGTGGAGCGCTTTGTGGCATGGTGTGGAAACAATCATCTGACCTTGAACGTGAACAAAACAAAGGAGACGATTTTAGACTTCAGAAGAAACAGGGTGGAGTCAAACACTGTTTCCATCATGGGAGAAGAAGTGGAGGTGGTTGAGGAATACAAACACCTTGGAGTTCACCTGGACAACAGACTGGACTGGAGAAAGAACAGCGAAGCTGTTTACAAGAAGGGGCACAGCAGACTGCACTTCTTGAGGACGCTTAGGCCCTTCAATGTCTGTAGCAAGATGCTGCAGGTCTTCTACAAGTCTGTTGTTGAGAGTGTAATCTCTTCAGCCATCGTCTGTTGGGGTAGCAGCATCAGAAGCAGGGACCTGAAAAGGCTCAACAGCCTAATAACAAAGGCTGGTTCTGTTCTGGGGACGACTGTGGAACCGCTGGAGGAGATAATGCAAAGAAGGATTCTCCAGAGAATCAAGAAAATGATGGACAACCCTGAGCATTCTCTTCACAAGACTGTCCGACAACGGAAGAGTGTCTTCAGTCAGAGGCTTCTTCAGTTTGGCTGCAACACTGACCGCTACTGGAGATCCTTCCTGCCAACAGCCATTGTAATATACAACAACTCTTTGATGACCTGATTATTATTATTATTCTGAGCTACTACAGCAATCAATTTCCCTCTGGGATTAATAAAGTATTTTTGAATTTGAATAACAACTGAGAAGTGACTGTTTGACATCCAACATGAAAAGAACAAAGGTCTTCGCTCTGCGACGTTCTACAAAAACAAGGTTTATAACCAACATCTTTAAAGGAGGTGAACCTACACTCCAGCAGGTCAGCCAGCGTCTTGGTCCTCAGCGCCACGGGCCGTTTGGTTTTGTCGTTGGTGATGGCAAACTCCTGCATCCCCAACTCCTCCGCCACCTTGGCCTGGGTTCGGTTGTTCACCAACGAGCTGCGGAGGAGCTACAGCACAAAAAAACCAAAACCTTTTTCGTGTCTCGCCTCAGCTGAAAGGTGAAGTTTAAATAAAAATATAAAGAACGTGAAAACGGAGCGGAATAATCCATCAAAGCCAGAAATGTTTCAGGGAGTTTTCACATCAGTCTGTTAAATATTACATGGTGACTGGGAGGCGAGCGGACGACAACATGTTCGACTTGTTAGGCTGCATTTAAGTGTCTAAAAGCAAAACACCAACATGGTAAATATAGATGCCAGATGCAGAAAGGAGCAAATGGAATAGAACACGACTGTCTGAATCAGTCTGGCTGTGATATGCCCCGTTTCTAGCGCACGCACGCACGCACGCACGCACGCACGCACGCACACACCCACACCCACACCCACACACACACACACACACACACACACACACACACTAGTTGAATGGGCACTTTTTATCCCAATTTGAAATCCATTTCAGATGCACCACATGCCGACTCTTGGGCTTTGCAGGAGCTTTCAGCCTCAGTAGAAGCTTTTATACAAGCGACGTCAGGACTTCCATCAAACAGGGAACATCTCCAAATACATTTCTACATCTTCTGTTTCAGTTTCTTCCTTCTGTATCTGGAGTCTCCCTTTAGACACAACAAACCAGAAAACAGCAAACGCAGGTGCAGCTACAGGAGAAAACAAGGTTCTCTTGTTTGATGGAAACTGGTGAGAAGCTGGCAGAGATGGTGACTCACAAACTGATGGGAAGAGACGAGGAGGAGGTAAACGACACGCAGACACACCGAAGGACGTGTAAAACTTCAGGGATGGGAGGAAACAGAATCATAAACTAGAAAATGACACTCTGAAGGGTTCAGAGGCAGAAACTGACACAGAAACGGTGTGACGATCTAAGCTGAAGCTAAACCAAGAACAACAGAAACGTTAAAGCTGCTGTTAGTGGATCATCTGGGTCACCAAGGTAGAAGTTAGCAAAGAGCAAGTTTTAGAGTCTGACTCATTATTCCTGATATGTGGACATCTCTCCTCTGATTGGCTAAGTGCAACACGACTCAACCACTGACTCTGTTTGCTCTGCAGCGCTGATGTTTCATATCCACCAATAACACAAGTCTGGAGGAGTTCTGCTGTGTGGTGGAGTTGCTAATGCTAACAGTTAGCTTTACTAGCTGAGACGTTCTCTGCAGTTTCCTGGACGCTAACCCAACAACAACCTTCCCCGTCGTGAGTCAAGATGGGCGAGTCCATGAATGTTAGGTGACTGGGTGACGCAGATCTGGATGGATTTTCCTGACCCGAGCATTTCCTTATTTATTTTCTTTCTGTGGCTAATCCAGGATATCAGGGAGGAAAACTATTTCCAAGCTCTGCATGCATGTGAAACTCAGCATGACCGAAAGAACAAGTAAAAAAACGATTCCTCGGTGAACCTCACCTTTAAAAACCATCAAATCATAACAGGATTGAATGAAACAGCAGTAACAATGCTGGAATGTTTGTGCATTTGCAGCTTAAATCAGATAAATCCATGTTTGCGGACAGGAAGAAGCTTGTCAGAGGTTTGGGTGATAGCTGAGCTTACAGTTAGGTGTCCCTCATGGTGGTCGGGAAAGTGGATGAAGAGATATTCGGTGGCGACGAGCTGCATGATGGAGTCTCCCAGGAACTCCATCCTCTGGTTGTGGCCTCTGGATAGAAACAGGGAAAGAAAAGGTTACAGCAGGATACAGGGAAAGGCAGAAAAGGGATTAAATAAGAAGAACATCCGAGGTCATTCAGCATCACTCGCTCTCTACAAATCTACCAGGCTTTGAGTTTGAGCAGAAGCGTCGGCTGATGTGCGTTTCATGTGTAGCCGCTGGGAACAGCTGCACTGACAGGGAGTGTGACAACTCCCAGGATCTGAATGCAATTCAAACACACACGTACAAAAGAAGAGCATTTACCCCCCAAAAAGTATAACACCTGCAGGAGAGCCTGTCAGCAAATGCAGCGGCTTAAGTGCAGGAGTTTAGAGGCCATCTTTTAAGTTGATTTTCCGGAGAATGCTCGTGGCTACGCTGTGATTCTCCACATCAGTGAAGCTGTAGCTCTCAGCACGGCGTTCGGCAGGGCAGAAGGAGGGGGTGCGGTAACTGCTGCTGCTGTAATGGTCATTAATTAAACAGAATTATAGATTAGCATTGCAGATGTGGGCTGGAGTCGGGCCAGACTGGCAGGAAACGGTGGCTGGGGGGGGGGGGGGGGGGATTCATCAGCAGAGAACATATCCATCTACAGCCACCAGCTCCTGGCAGGAGGCAGTCTGAGGATGATGATGATGGGGAGGTGGACGAAGACGGCTACAGGAAAAGTTGGTTTCTGTGAGCGTGTGTGGTTCTCAGATCTGAGGTTCATCCAGCGACCATCAGTTACTCTGACTTTTGATGAATGCCGTCATTATGTTCTTCTGCTGACTAATTTAGCTTTTGTAATACTGAAAAATTACCACATTTTCCTGTATTTTCTCCCTTCAAACAACAAAACTGAGAAGATGAATGTGCTTTATACTGAATGCATTTCTGCACATCAGTCATTTGGCCGACCAAACAGCCTGACTTTCAAAGACTTACTGAAACAAATAATCCCAGATCTTTTCCGTCCTCTAGAGAAGCACCTCATTCACCTCGGACCAGTCCGGGACAATGTTCTCCACACAGCAGCAAAAACAACAGCAGCACCCGCTGACCCGTTTTTATTGATCCCATCTATGTTTGAGGGCCTTGTAAGGTCAGAGGTCATGTGCAGGCCCAATACTGACCTGTTTTCACCATCTCCACAACTTCTCCTCTAACAGTAAGAGAGGTCTTAGCGCTCCCTTTAATGTCTACCACCACCTCTTGTCATTGATATCTGGGTTAAAGTTGGTAAAGCTGGGGGGGCTCAGGACACGTCCTTGTGGGATGCCATTAATGATCTATAAAAGCCACAGCTGTCATTTAGCTAATTCTGGCAATAGCAGTGGTTTTAGTTATCAATGCAAATTTAAAGTGTATTTAAATGGACTCAAACGGCCCAAAATAAACGATAAACGACCCGTTCTAGCGCCTTTCAGAGTCAGAGGACCCCAAAGCGCTTTACACTACAGTGAAAATGAGGTTTTGTAATCTAAATAGAACCTTCCTAGTTGAATAAAGAACAAATAAAACCACTTTAGTTTCAGTTGTTATTATAAAAGTTGCATTATGTTAGAATGACATCTTGTGGTCAAATATGGCTCCTGCAGGACACTTTCCAAACACGAGTCCCTTTATCGCCGCCGTTCCATGGGTTTCACGGCCGTCAGCGGTGCGGCGGATACTCCGATTAACAAGCAGCTTTCTTACTCAACTCGAACAATTTAAAAAAGAAAAGACCGACCCGTCTAGACCACGAAATGTAAACGTTACATTTGTTTAAGGCGAGAGTGCCGATGCCATCCGACCCGCCTGCCTAGAACCCCCCGGAAGCCCGGTTCTGACTGAAAACTAAATTAACAAAAGCAAGCTTCCATCTGCAAAGCCTGTTAGACAGTCAACTGATTATCAAAGTGTTTTTAAATCATTTTGCTTTTGATTAATTAATTGGTTAAGTCCCTGTTCGCCGATAAAAGACCACTTGCTGTGCAGAAAGAAAAGAAAGAAAGAAAGAAAGAAAGAAAGAAAGAAAGAAAGAAAGAAAGAGAACTTTAACCCCTTCGGTGTTTCTGAAAATGTCATTACAGGCTCCCAGCTTCACTGCCGCAACAACACGGATTAGGGAATAAGATAGGAGCTCTGCAAAGTCAAATGTAGGCTACGGTTATGAATCTAAAGGTAAATTCTTAATATTTGTGAGCATAAATAATTTAAATGGATGCTAAATCAATGTTCTGCTATCTTAATAAATAAATATAGTAGTAGTATAAATATATAAAAGCATTTATAGTAAAAACTATAAAGTTTTAAAATGTTTAGTTTTATAAACCTTTTATTTAAAATATGATTTTTGAGATTCAGACACTTTATTAACCCCTAAAGGGAAATGTGTATTCTCTACAGGTTTAGCAGCTTGTGTAGAAGACACACTTTAGACTTTTGGTTAAAATTAAAGCCCATCTTCCATTTAAAACCCATCAGAGTGGTTTTTACCAGCTGGACAGATGTGATTACAACACAGATTTAACTATAAAAGCATGTCTGCGAGTTTCTCATCCAAATTCACCCAACAAATGTAATTCCTAACACATGAAACGGCCAAACATCTGATGAGGAACGACGCTGATGAAAACAAAACTAGATTTGTTTTATTTATGAGGGAAAGCATTGAAACAAAAAGCAGAAATGACAGTTTGAAGTCGTTTTAGAGATTTTATCTAATATTGGAGCACAGTAAAGCTGTACAAACCCTAAAAACAGAAACATTTGGTTTGATTAAAAAGCTTTTCCAATAAGCACCTCAGTGGTTTTTAAATAAAGCAGACTCTGATCCTGTTTTTGGATTTTAATCATTAAAACTATTAAAGTGTTTCATTTCCAGACCCCAGAGGACTTCCGGCTGGTTTTAGACAGGAACTTTGTGCTTTATAGCGAGGGTGATCCGGGACAGGGATTCGTTAGGGAAAGAAGGGACCCGGCTGATCCGCACATTACAAATAATCTGAGAGTTTCTACATAAAAAAGCTCCGCCACAGTTCAGGAGAGCGAGAAGAGCCGAGTTCAGGATGAGGAATCATCTCCCGCACCCCAGGACTGAGCACCGATTTTACGAATCTAAAGCTCGGGAGCTAAAAACCAGGAGGAAAATAAGCTGAGCGCAGAGGCGGTGCAGCAGGAGCTAATTTCACCTCCAATAGGAGGCGGAGGCAGAAAGGAAACAGCGGGGTGACGGCGAGAAAAGAAACGAATAAGGGGGAAAGATGGAGGAAGGGAAGGGGTCAAAGACGGATGAGTGAGGCGGCACAAAGGAGGCATCCGTTCTTCACTCCGGCAGCAGAGCTACAATGCTGCAGGAAGGTGGGGGAAATCGAATCCTTTATTGTCATTATGCATACACATAACAACAATTGGTTGGTAGCTCTCAGCTTAAAGGGCGCTAAGACCACAAATAGAACGATAAAAACATGAAGAGTAAAAAAAAAAAAGAACAACACATAACCTTCCCTTTAGGGAGCCGTACACACACTAGTAAAATGAGTAAAAAAGCTGAATAATTTAAAAGACATAAAAGATAAACGTTGCACTGACTGACATTCTGATTGTACTGATCGACATGTTGATCGATACTACTGCACTACTAGAAGATTCAAGTGTGAACAGGACTACAGCAGCATGAGAAAACAGGATCACTGTAAATTACAACCAACCCATCATTAAAAGACTAATAGTCTCAAGGGTCATTGGTTGGGAGTGCAGGTATCGGGGGTGGGTGGGGGGGTGGGGGGGGGGGGTGGGGGGCTTTAACAGCTCTAGGGAAGAAGCTGCTCCTCAGCCTGGTGGTTGTGGCCATGATATTCCTGTATTTTTTCCTGGATGGTAGTGGCATAAACAATTTGTGACCTGGATGGAAGGATTCAGCAGCGATACGGTTAGCCTTCCTTAGTAGTTGGATGGTATATACCGAGTCCAGATCTGGTAGTGGGCTCCCCATGATCCACTGAGCAGTTTTCACCACCCTGGCCAGGTCTTTTTTGTTCTGCGGTGCAGCTCCCATACCACACCGTCATACTGAGTGATAGGATGCTCTCAATCATGGATCTGTAGAAGTTCTTTAGCAGTTGGGGGGAGAGACCAGCTCCCTTCAGTTTCCTAAGGAAGAAGCGTCTTTATTGGGCCTTCTTTACCAGAAAGGAAGTGTTCAGTGACCAGGTTAGATCTGAGGTGATGTGGATGCCCAGGAATTTGATGTTGTCTACAAGCTCTACTAGCTCCCCCTAAATGAGTAGAGATGGGTGCTCTGTCCTGTTGGACCTCCTGAAGTCCACTATGACCTCCTTGGTCTTACTGGTGTGGAGCACCAGGTTGTTCAAAGAACACCACTGAGTGAGGTGCTGTATCTCCTCTTTGTAGAGGGTCTCATCATTGTTTGTTATGAGACCCACTATGGTGGTGTCATCTGCAAACTTCAAAACCATGTTAGAGGGGTGGAGGGCTGTGCAGCTGTGGGTAAATAATGTGAAGAGAGCCAGACTGAGCACACAGCCCTGTGGTGTCCCTGTGGTATCCCTGTGTTTGGAATCATGGTGGATGATGTTTGGTCTCCTATTCTCACCACCTGAGGCCGATTAGTGAGAAAGTCCCTGATCCAGAGGCACATTGAAGCAGAGATTCCCAGGTTATAGAGTTTCACTATCAGCCTGTCTGGGATGATGGTGTTGAAAGCCGAGATGAAGTCAATGAACAGCATCCTAACATAAGTAAAATTGAAGTAAAGTGTGGAGCCGAGGTCTTTATTCACCTTTGAATTTGATCTAAAATACCTTTAACAGCAATTCTGAGCAGGCGGCTAAGGCTGCCGGCTCCGAAGAGACAGGGCAGCTCCATTTTCCTTCCTGGAAAAATAACGTTCCTGTTCCAGGAGAACACGCACGTGTCAAACGAATGGCCGGCCGTTTGTCGGTCAGTGCTCTGAGAGAAAATCTGCAGCTACTGAATCTGCTGCTTCAACCCCAACAAAAACTTGTTCTTTTATGGACAATTTTGATTATTCTGCCGACACTTCTGATCCGTTATATTTGGTTTTAAAGCGATGCGTGAACAAAGATAACTCCAAACGAAACAACGGAGGTATAAACAAGCTGTTATTGGGGTAAATACAACCTCTGGGGTCACGATGGATCCAGATATTCCATCTGTTCATTTTGATTATAAACAGCTTTCATGGTTTGATTGAACTTTCTGAATCTGGTGAAATAAAGACTCTCCATCCTTGCCTCCATCACCACCATCTAGGTCAGTTTGTCCTCCATCTCTTCTCAAAGTGAAAGGCCACCAGGCCAGCCGCGCTCCCGTCTCCACATCCGTCCTTACCGCCCGACTCTGCTCCCTGACCTCCTCCTTTGCTCCATCATGACAGTGCGACCTACTTTGGTCCGACCTTTGGTCCTCACGGGCGCTCGATGCTCAGCTCCAGATATCGAGTCAGTCGGCCGTTTTTGGGTCAGTGTGCCTTTGGCTACGAACGAGCTAATGAACATAAATTACCCTAAACTACATCAATTCTGCCTTCGTAACTGCAGGAAAAGGGCCGATAACTTTCAGGAAAATATAAGAATGCACCGGTCTTTCCTTCCGCCTGACGGTCGTCAAGTTGGAAAAAACGGGATTCAACCTTGAGTTGGAAAGTCCTCAAAGTAAAGCTCAGTAGGACACGAACCTCCGGACCTCTAATCAACTTGACTGACCCCGAGTGGAGAGAGGTTTGACATTTAAGTGATGGATTAGTGTGTGTTCAGGCCTCTGTGTGTGTGTGTACGATGCACACTCAAACACAGAGCAGTGTCCTTGTGGTGGACCTAAGCAAGCAATTAGAGCTCAACCTGCCAATAAGATATCAAATGTGCACTGCCAGGGCTAATTTGCTTTAGCTGTCAAACTCACTATTGTGTTGAGTCGGAAAGCTCAGAAGTGAGTTAAGCCTCGATGGCAAATAACCGTCTCATCGTCTGAATATAAAAAACCAGGAGTCTCATTAGCTGAAGCGCTGCTTAATGAAAATTGCTTTTTTTTTTTTACAAAACAAAATTACATCCTATGAATAAATGAAGGTAGCTGAACAACGAGGCACGCTCCCAGATCAATTTGAAGCTATCCCTGTAGAAGTTTGCAACTTTCCTGACTATTGAAGAAACGTCACAGCAGAAGAAGGGAAGGAGAGGAGAGCACGTTCAAAGCCAGCGCTGCAGCACCGCTGTGAAACGCTGCAATTAACAGAGAAAAACACAGCAGAGCCCACATGTGTATCTCCCTCTGAACAGAACACGCCAAGTTATGGGACGTATAGTCAAGCCAGCCTTAATTAAATCTGCATCAAAAAGAATGATTTAGAGCCAGACGCTGAGAAATCACTAGGTGGACTCGAGCATGACAGCAAGAGCAAAAAAGCATCAGACTAATGAGAGATGTGGCTGCAGCCAAGGAAAACCTTCAGCTCAGGACAATCCAGTGATTTTAAACTCCACTTCCTGTGGAGCATCGGGGTTGTGGCCCCCCAGTTAGAGGCAGACTACAGATACAGGGACTTATAAGTCTCTTATGGATGTGAAATCCTCGGATTAGGCCTTCAGCCAAGAAAAACTCATCCATCTTTCGCTAGGATGTCGTAAACATGGCGCTCCAGATGTAATTTGTTATGGTGAACATGTCCGAGCAGCGGGGGGTAAATATAATGGTAAAGGGGGAGGAGGAGGCTGCAGATTCACCACAGACTCAGCTGTTCAGACGCTTGGGCGAACCGTGTATTATAAACCAGGTCTGGTCAGGATTCAGGTGGTGAAACAGATTAAAGACGACAGATTAGAGGCAGGCCGGGACTCACAGGGTGAGGTGGTTGAATCCAACGGTCCTTAAGGTGAAGGCTCGGGCCAGCAGGCGCACGTGGGTGAACAGGACCCCGATGGAGTCCTCAAAGCTGGTCAGCTGCTGAAGAACTGGAGATGTTTCGATCAGCTGCCGGTCCGTCTGAGGCTCCTGCACCTGGATGGGGACACGGACACAACACTGGAGGGTTTCTGGGTTGTAAAGGGTTTGAGAATTACTGACGCCAAACTTCGGCTATCTTAGCACTGCATGCCTCCCAAGATGCAGTTCTGCATTTTGTCCAACCAGATCCCCCAAGAATAAGGAATGAGCTCGGTTCTCCCTTAAACGGGTTGTTCCCGGTCATTTCCTGCAGGTCGTTTTCAGTTCGGCCTTCACAGCCCTTCTCACTGAGGGACTCCCACACCCTATAGACCATGCCATCGCAGTCTGGACTTCTTTATGAACGCAGGAACTTCCAGATGTCGCTGGAATATGAAGCCAGCAGGATACACACGGCAACAGTTATTCAGGAGAAATCGGGCAGGACAAACTCCAGAACCAGACTCACCGACTTAGGTCCAACACAAAGATATTCAACCTTATAAATAACTTATTATCACCTGGAAAATGAAGGAAATCTTTCTGCTGAAACGAGTCGACATGTCTCAGATTGGTCTTCAACCACTTCCACAGTCTCCTCAGATTTATTGCATTTTCTTTCCTCAAGGAAATTTTTATTTTCACTTCATATTTCCATTTTCTAGCCCAGGTAGAGGCTGAAAAATGCAAAAGACTGAAAATAAAACTACCTAGCTACCTAGGCTATCTTTCTTTTAAAACCACATTTCGTCTAGTTTTGGACCAGAACGGCTCCAAAGCTCAGTCGTCACCTACTTTAAAGTGTATGTAGTTAAATCCACATACTGATATGAACAAATCTTTAGACTTCCATTTTATTGTCCTACCAAATAAAATGTGGGAGTTAAGTGTATTAATCTCTCAGAAGAAGGTCAATCTGGCTTTTAGACCTTCTTAAGAAAATGTAAACAAATCCCAAATACAGATTACAACACAAGCGGACAGAGAAGCTGTCTGGAACGTCTCCAACGTGAGCATCCGTCGGATTCCGGATCAATCCCAATAATATCAGACTACTAAACCAGCTCTCTGCTGAACTAAAACATCAATGGGGTGAGTATTTAGGGCATTTGTTTAACAGGCAGCAGCAGGACTTCTACACACGTTTTTCCTCATAAGAACCAAACATGTTCTGATTGATCACATGATCTCATGAGTTATGTTTTCATTAGGGCAGTTGTGTCCAACCCTGGTCCTCCAACGCCAGCATTTAGAGGTTACTCTGCTCCAACTCACCTGGTTTTGATCAGAAGGTGATCAACAGGCTTCTGCAGAGCCCGATGAGCTGCTGGTCAGCCGTGAATCAGGTGTGTTGGAACAGAGAAACAACTGAGACCATGTAGATAGGCAGCTGGGTCTCCCACAAAGCAAAGAAACTTGACTACGGTTTGGTCTCACCTCTGCATGAAGGTGAGGACCAACAAATCTTTCAAAAACCTCCGACCCAAGTGTGGGTTTGCTAATTCTCCGCTGTCTCAGCATTTTAGCACCTAAAGATACCCAAGTATGGTTAGTGCCCGCCACCTGGGTATATTATTCCAGGGCTTTTGGAGTAGATCCGCTGCTCCTCCACATCCAGAGGAGCCAGTTGAGGTGGTATGTGGTTAGGATGACTCCCTGGGGCGGTTTTATGGGTACGTCCAACTGGGATGAGACCTAAAGGAAGACCCAGGACACGCTGGAGGGACTATGTCTCTCAGCTGGTCCGGGAATGCCTTGGGATTCCCCCGGAGGAGCTGGCCCAAGTGGCTGGGGAGAGGGAAGTCTGGACCTCTCTGCTTAGGTTACTGCCATTGTGATCCGACTCAGGATAAGCAAAGGAAAATGGAAAGACACCAACAATTTGGGGAACTACTGCCGCCTACAGGCTTGGCGGGTCTATGAATGTGCTCCACAGTGCACTGGATGTTTTTGCTGAAAACGAGGTGCGAACCCAAGTCTTTTTCCTAGACTGGTGAGGCAGGATATTCATAAAAAACCCGGCTGCACGTGTACGTGGTCTAAAGCATGCTGGGAGGTGGCCCTGGACGACCGGGGTTAGACACCACTTGGATTAGAGGAGATGAATTATCTCTTGGAAGAGCAAACCGAGCAGATTCACCTCAAACGGAGAAAGCCACACATTTAGTGAAGTCGCTGAGTGTCAGAAAAGTGAATCCGTACGATTTTTCTGCTCCGGGGCCCGTTTAGTGTGTTTTCTCTCCGCCTGAAAAACAAACCGGGGCTGATCTGCAGCAGACGGAACATCTTAGTCATTAACTTTTAAGTCAAACAGCTTCTTTTCTAAACCTGGCGCATCCACTGTCTGTTAAGTCTCCGATGACTCAAGTTTTTCCTTCGTTAGTTATAAAACAACGATTCGTACGTCTGATTAAAAGAGCCTCAGATCGAGTTTTCGGGATTAGCATAAAGAGAGGCTGTGGGTTCAAAGGTAGACGGGCTCAGCTGCTCGCTTTAACCACCATATTTGCTCATGACTGTGCTCATCAGAAGAGGAAATGTTTGTTGAATCAAGAGATATGCTTATGGGCGCATTAATTAAGCTGCTGGAATCGTCTAATTGGTCTCTGTGTGGTGCAACTGTTAGCTTGACCAAGACATCATTTTCACAGAATATACAAACATGGAGGCATGTAATTTCACGAGGACATCCAAAGAGCACTAAAATACATTCAACTGACGTTGTTAGGCTGCTCCCTTGTGCCGTTTGGTGTACAGCGCGATGAAAACAAACCCAAACTCAAGGATCTTCCAAGGGAAGGAGCAACCCCTCTTGTTGTCTAGCGTTTCTTTTGTTTCTGCTCTCACCAGTAAACACATTTTTCAAAGTCTCCCATGTCAAGTCAGCTGCAAAGAGCAGAGATGTATTTTTAAACTCCTTCTTTTAATTGGAGCGCTGCCGGTAATGTCATGTCTCCATCTTACAGTGTGTAATAAGAAATATTTCATTCCTGCCTTTTTCTTTCCTCTCTTAATTAACGGAAGGCGTTTAAATGTCACGAATCCTGACTAACAACATCTGATGACTTCAGCTCTCACAGGAGCGCGTGGTCCTTCAGGGGGAATGGCCAGCAGCATGGCTTCAAACGGAGCGAGGAGAAGAAAAAAATCTACAGAAGCTGCAAAAAATATATAAATAAAATGTTTGAAATGGCTTCAAAGCTTCACTTTCAGCCGAGTCCAGACCCACAGCAGAATCAGAGCGGAGGCCCAACAAGCTTGACACTCGTGTACCCCCCTGATAAACTAAAGGAGAAACGTTGTAATCCCCACTCAACGCAAACGACGTTCGGGTAAATTATCCTGGAGAGCCGGGGGTGATGCGCTGGTGAAAATCAAGTGAAAACATGAAGAGGTGCCTGTAAACCACGAGGCGTTCCACTTCCCTCTGTAGGGCAAGTTGGTGGCAAGACTAATGTGTGCCAAAAACTTGTGCACGCACAATTACACATGCCATGGCGAGCTGCCATTGCCTTCAGCTCAGACCTCATTAGGGTAGCTCCTCTTTCCCTTCTTCATCCTGGTGGGGAGGGAATTAGGTTACACCTGGGTGCCTTTCAGCAACTGTTTGGGTTTGATGTTCAGACTCTGGAGGGTCTTCAACACTTATGGAATAAATGAGGGATCTGCGGTGTATTGGATTCAACAACGGTATCAGTCCGATAAGTAAAACTGGGACAACATTAACTCGTTCACAGCTATTGACGACTAAAGTTGTCATTTGCATTTTTTTTTACTGTGTGGGCGTCGGACGAGCCCCCCCCACCGTGAGAACAAACATCTCAGCTCTAAAGTCGATCTTCGTCCGCATACGTCACACGTCTTGTGATCAGGAAGCAGAACATCCATGTGTTAGGAGATCGTTTTGGGACGCTGCTGTAAAAAAAAAGTGAGGCGCGAACCGGAAAAGCTTCTGCCGATCACAATTCAACAACGGATTATGGAAGAACGGATAACGCTCGAAACACGCGGATTCTTCCTGATGTAAGAGGTGAGTCTCTGCTTTGTTTTGGTTGTTTTGGCGTCAACATCATCTTAGCGCGCAACCTTCTGTCACTCTTAAAAAAACAGTAAAAACATGAGAAACGCTGGCAGCGAATGAGTTAAACTGATTTTTATCTCCGCGGTTAATGGAACGGGGTCGTCATGCAATATTTGTTTGGTCATCTCAGATGCTTAGGTTTCCACCATCTGTAAATATCGGTTATCCACCATAATATCGGCCTGAATGTCAGAATAAATAAGTTATTGCTTTAACTTATGGAGAAGCAAACCTTCCCGCGGTCCTTTTGCCAGTTATCCAGTATCGACCCAGCTCGGCTAATTTTCCTTAAACCCAACCATTATAAAGAGGAACAGACCCAGGATCAGGTTGTTTTTGACTCGCATCATCTTGTTCCTACGTCCATGTGGTAGTATGTAGAGAAAACTAAAATAAACCTGAATTCATGGATCCAACTTGAATATTTTAACTTTTATCCAAGTAAAATTTGAAAGAATTCCACATAAATTCAAACAAATACCTGATTTTGTGTTTTGTGTTAGAATTCCATTTTAAAGATAATAAAAAACGTTCACAAATTACTTTATGAGAAAAAGCCATTTTACTCTTCTGAGAAGCTAAACTTTACAGCCAACACGTTTCTAAACTTCAAAAAGAAGTCATTACAACAAAGCGTATTTTTCTTTTCCTAGAAAAAGAATCCGGCCAGTTATTTCTTAAGATCTTCCTCGGATTCATTTGTTAGTTTTCATCGAGTTCTCAAGACGTGATGGTGCTTTTTCACCAGTTTGGCGAGGGATCGTTAGTGTTGAACCAGTATCTGACTGGGATTAAGACCGTTGGTCACCAGATAAAACATCCTTTTTCTTTAAGACACAACTTTCAGATATTATTGGTGTTATTCAAGGTCTGAAACATATTCGTCCTTCTCCACAGTTCTTATCGATTCAGCTAATAATGCACAATATGTTGTTTCACGATCAAGAGCAAAGACTGAAACTGAGTAAAAAGCAGCAAAAATACAAAGAAAAACACAATTAAGACCCTGGAAAGTCTGGAAAACCACAGATTCACGACCACCTTTGGAGGAGCCAAGTATAAATAAGTCAGGATGGTTATTTGACGTTGGTAATGTGTCAGATTGTGTCATCTATTCAGGATGCTACCACGCTAACGTGAGGTTGGGTTGGTTTAAAGCTCCGGCGGTGGGGGGCACCAGGAGGAAGCTGCGGTTTTTGGTAATGAGGCTGCCGCTCTGTAGCAGCTAACAGAGATTGACGCCCAACAAAGAGCTGCTGCAGGTGGTGGTGCAGACCCCAGGCCTCCACCATGTTCATGTACCCACCGCTGAGACCCGAGCCCTGCTACTCACCAGGAAACCGCACAGCCAGTTTATCCTGAGCTCCTACAAGCTCCACTAAATCACCCAAGCTCTCTGTGCCTCTCAAACCATTTGGGAAGGCAAAAAGTGGGGAGATGAGGAGACGGAGACACAGATGTGCATAAACAGAAAGTTATTTTGGACCAGACTTGGAAAAATATGAAATAAAACTCTTGAATTTGCAGCGAGATGCAAGGAATTCAAACAAAGAAACACATCAGAAGGAAAACATAAACAAAAAAGATGCCTGGCGGTCCCCGGAGACCCCCGTGTGATCGGGACCGTCATCCTGTTACGGCATCTTTGATCTTTTCCTCCAAATCCTAATTTCAAAACAAACACAGTTGACATGTTTGGTGTTTCTGGGCAGATCGCTGAAGCCAAAGAGAGGAAAGTGAAGACAGCCAGTCAGTGGCTGAGAAAGCAGAGGATGGAGGGGGTGCTGCTGAAGAAGTGGAGTAAATCAAAAAGCGGATTAGGGTTTTGACCAAAGTGGAGAGCAGCACAAAAAGGTTTGCAACGGTTACAAAGACCCAAGTCCACCTCAGCAAAAATAACTGACAGCTTTTCCATCTCTGACACACAATTTAGAACAAAATATTACAGATTTGGGCCGGAAAGCTTCAGATGGGAGAATAATTGGGTGTCCTGGTGGATGAGTGGAGTTTTAATGAGAGGCAACCCAGACAAAATAAACATCAATAATAAAAGACATCTCCACCAACCTGCAGGGGGTGTGGTGGGTAGTTGAGCCAGACTTCCCGCAGCTCCTGTGAAGACAGAAAAAGACATGAAGAGTCGGCCAGAAGAGACTGCTGGCATGAGGGTCACCTAAGGTCAAGAATATTAATAACACAACAGGAAAAAAACTTTAACAAATGTGAATTTACAAAAAACTCTGAAACAAACTAAAAATGAAACTTTGGTTTACAGATCTGGGCTCGTCTCACTCAGGATGACGACCTGGTTGCACATGAAGAGTCTCATCACACACCAATGAGCGCGATGGGTTAACATGAGGTGGTTTATCATCACCATGGCAACGTATCGGGTACTGGGTGCGTCATTTGGAATCGTAGGATGTCCAAGTAAGGTCCCGCCTTTCTCGCATCTAATTGGCTGATAGAGCTCTTCGACGATTTTCTAACACACCACTTTACATTTCTTTCATAGAAGAACCTGAAAAACGTCAAATGTGGACTTGTAATAAATCTTGTTGCATTTGTCACACGGTTATCTTATTACTATAGGATATTTTATGCCTTTGCTTTCATAGGTTAAGCTGTTTGCAAGTTAGGACACACCTCTTCTGTTTAAATGTGCATCATTTAACTGAAATTTAATTCAAAGCTGATTATAATTTAGACCGACGTTCATTATTCAAGATGAGAAATAGACCTGCTGCACACAACTGGGCAAAACTTTTCTTAAATTTCATACTCAGATGGGAAGAAGGGTTGCTGCTAAATGAAATAGCTAATCATAGCAGAGCCCTTCTGGCCAATCAGAGGCGTGAATAGCGGGTTCTTCCTTGAACATTCTATGATTCCAAATGATGCATCCAGGGTTAGTGGCATTGTAACCATGACACTACGACCAGGGAGGGGACTGGCCATGATGGCCTCATGCCTCGGTTATGACCCATTCTCAATCATTATCACATGTAGAGATCTCCAAAAACTTCTAAAAGAATGATACCAGGAGGAGGCCCAAGGCGGCTGTTGGTGTACGGACAAGGACTCTCTTAGGAATATGATTGTGATGCCTTTAGGTAAAAATGACTATTAAGTTCATGATTTGAATAAGTGTTACATTGATAAGTTAATAAAAAGTAAAAGTGACTACATGTTAAAAAGGTTCAAACATTTTTAATTCTGAAAGCAGTTCATAGTGAGACATCGCTGTTGCAGAAGATCTTTGTTTCAATGCTTATATTGCAGAAACGCGAGAGGGAATGCTCTTGCCTCGAACGGATCTTTGATTTGAGTTTCTCCGTTGACGTTTGAAACATTTAGTCCGACAAGATAAGTAAATGGCTTACAAACATGCTAAAAGTGTGTTATATGTTATGTACCTTGGAGGATATTCATCTTTGTAAGTATTGATATGTTTGGGAACTATTAATACATTTGTTAGTCACTTATTTAGTAATATGTATGCACTAATGCTACTAAGCTAAAATAACCGTTAAGTGTGACACTGGGATGTGTGTATCAGTTAGTAGTGTGTTCTTTTCTGTATGTTACAGTTACGATGATAAAACTATATAAAGATCTTCAGTGAGAAAAGAAAGCCTCGGTGAAGATTCTCTTTTTTTGTTTTTGTTCGTTCGCTAGCTGTCTAGCTCCACATAGCTACGTGTTGTGAGGGCAGCATAATGATGCAGATGCACATAGAGGGAGTGAGTATTAAGAGTTTTGTAAAGTCATGATGGTGTGTGTTTTTATATATATATATATATATATATATATATATATTTTTTTTTTAATATATACATTCAACTAAAATAAAAACGCAACACTTTTGTTTCTGCTCCGATTTTCCATGAGATGGACTTAAAGATCTAAAATTCATTCCAGATACACTATATTACTAGCCTGGCAAGCCAGACTAAATAAATGTATTATTTAGTCTGAACAAGCTCCATTGACGGCTCTCGGTTGTGGGGCGGGTTCTACCGTTGTCTTTCAAATGATCTCCGCATTCCACTGGACAATGAATGTGACATACTCTTGTTTCACTCTGTTGCATCATCCCACCCACCAGGCATATAGAGTGCCCTGATTGGCCCACAAAGCGGATAAAGCTCTGAGATTTGTTCACTAAGCAGATAGAGCACTATGATTGGCCCACCATTATGGACCAATCACAGCTCTTTATGTGTTTGAAACCCCTCTAGAGAGTTGTGATTGGCCAGCCAGAGTCCTGGTAGGAGCAGCGGAGGTTCCACTGGAGCATGCCTAGACCAAACTTTGCAAAGCAAGAATTTGGTCTAGTTCACTAGGTTACTATATTACCATTTCTCTCAAACATTGTTCACAAATCAGTCTAAATGTGTGATAGTGAGCACTTCTGCTTTGCTGAGATAATCCATCCCACCTCACAGGTGAGCCACATCAAGATGCTGATCCGACATCATGAGTAGTGCACAGGTGTACCTTATGCTGCCCACAATAAAAGGCCACCCTTTATTATCCCAAGCAGAGTCCTTGCCCCGTCTGAAGGCACTGCAAAGTGATTTAACTACATTCAAAGAGAATGTTTATTTATGTTACACATTTATTGAAGATTTCCATAGCAATGCTACAAAACTTTATGTAAATTCTTTGCATTTTGCTTAGTAATGTAGCCATAAATACAGGAAAACCTAGATGTTGGGACAGAACTCTAAAGTTTGTCACAAGCAAAGAACCAAAGCGCCCTTCGGTGGTTGGCTGGTGTCTAAGTTATTAAATGCAGTGTTGCAAATTTAACTGCATTTTTCTAGAGATGTGAAATAATTTTAATGTGTACATCGTCATCGTCTGGGTACATCTTTACCTTCAGTTAGTCATTTTATGTTTGCTTTAAAGTAACAAGATAGATTTGAAACATTAAGCTAGAGCTTTAACATTGATCTCAGTTTCATATTTGACACCCTAGGGGTGCTCTTTACCCGCTTTTACTTAGCTGTAATGCTAACGGTTAGCATTTTCAGTTTGCCGATCGTCAATAACAAGCACAAGTAGAAGAAAAACAAGTTTGCTGTGCCTGGAAGAAAAAAAAAAGAGAGAAGTGTCTTTGAAGGTGAAGCAAAGAGCTAAAACCAGAGTGAACATTGGCGCAGCCTACACTAGTTTGAGGGAGCTAAGAGGCTACAAAATCACGGACTGATGGTGACCTGGCTTTGTTGCTAATGGACTTGTAATTAATAATATTTTTTTGTCCGACAGTGTGGATCCTTTTACTTAGTGGTTTATTTTAGTATTCGTTGTTAGTGTTAGCTCATTGTAAAAAGGGGTGTTTATGACAGTTGTAATTCCCCTTTCAAACAGCAGAGCATAGAAGCAGGAAACTGCTGTGTGTTACTTAAAATAGTTTTTTTTAATTATTATTATGATTTGGCAAAAGGAATAATATATTCTTTGGCCATGGTGGTGATTCACTGATAACCTCTTCTAGAGGTTGACCAGGTACCTTAAGGGTCCACCAAGAAGCTTAGTGTGAGGTGGTGAATTAACTGCAGATGAGTCAGTCACTGGGTTTCAGACTGTCGGGTCTGTATATTGACTGTGGAGGTGAAAAGCGGACTGTGATGTTTATTTAAGCGTAAAACATGCGGGAGTTACTGAAGGAGGCTTGGTGGAATGTAGCTCTGGGGGTTATATCGTCTCTGGAGATAAACATCGATGGCGCTGAACTTTTGACTGGCTTGCTTGATGAGAATTTTCTTCAAAATCGAGTTGTTTTTTTCTCTCAACCCTGCTCTGAGGTAACTGCATAGATTAAATGGTAAAGAGAAAGAAGCTGATACAGCATGGAGAGAAAAAAGGGAAACAGTGAGCTCTAAAGTTGTTGCCAAGGACAACAGAGCCGGAGTAGGCTTCAGACATAGGGTCTAATGTTTGTTGAGTCATACTGGTATAGAGAAATGGATTGGACCTCTAAAGTACAGTATCACTCAGGTCTTTAAGGAGTTCAAGGAGATACACCTTTAAAATGCAGCGTTGGCCCATAGCGAGGGGGTTGTGTGAGGTCAGCAGCATCGAATGGAAGCCTCATTTTCTCAAACCACCAAGTTGGCAGCCCATCGCCTTGAGCAGCCGATGAAAAATTCATGAAAAGTGGTCAATACATTTGAGTAAATGCTTCCTTTTGGTTGCTTGTAGCAAAGCCTGGGACTGGAGCTGGAGAGTACAGCAGCATCACTGGTGAATTCAGGAGCTGCTGGCTGTGGAGATCACTTAAAGACAGGCAATAGCAGCGCCTAATGGATCTCATGTCATCACAGTTGTGTTGCAACTGGCACACAAATACACACAAGAGTAACGTATCTAGTGCAGGATGGAAATAAAAGGACAAGGTAAGGGAACAAAGATGCGACACAAAGAACAAAGTAGGAAGTGCTGCTTGTGATCAAGGTTGATGATTAAAATCCATCCACGAGATGCAAACGAGACGCCCACATGCCGCATATAGACCTGAACGGCTAATGTTTCAATTACAGCCATTCCAAAGATGATTAAGCCAACATGGAGAGGGGATTTAAGAATAACAACAGTACCTTTTTTCCTCCCTACTTGCTTTCTCTCTGCCAGCACAAGGAAGGTGTAATTACTGGGGGCACAAATCATCATGTGCAGCAGCTGAATCACGGATATAACTCTGGTGGTACAAACAGGGAAAATAAAACCCCACAGCAAACATGTTTATTTGACTCAACTGCCTACCCATGATAAAAGCTCAAATTAAAAGCAAAAGGCAGCTTGGTGAAATCACCTGTGATCCAAGTTTAAAAGTGGGCTTTCATCAGAGCTGCTCTACCCACGAGGGAATCAACACGCCTTTGCACATATACGAGTCTCACAAGCCAACCGTGAATAGTCACCAGCACTACACCCTGTGTACCAGACAACCCCAGGGAATGTAGGCCATCTATGATTGGGGCAGTGACAAGGTCCAGTGCTCCCTGACAAATTGGTCTCCTGCTGCAGGCTGCCAATCAATCCATCGAACGTGGTATTGTAGTGGAAAGATCACTGGAAGATGGCATCGCTGATCAATACAGACA